CCCCATAACCGGACCCAAAAAAAACAAAGAGTCTCATGAACTTTTCTGCCCGGGCTGGCTTCAAACTCTGATCCTCAGATCTCAGCCTCCTGAGTAGCTAGGATTACAGGCATGAGCCACTGGTGCCCAGCCTAGATTTACTTTTTAAGCTAGAAGGAAAAGTCAAACTGTAGTAGGAAGACCCCCTACTCAGGCAAGGCAAGCCCACCTAGTCATCCGGAGTGACAGAGCCCACCGCAACAAAGTTGTTAATAAAGAAGCAACTTTATTGAGAAGGTTCCTGCACTGACTGGCCTGGGCCACAGCATAGGCTCGGGAGCTGATACTGCAACCCCCCAGCGGCCCAAGTACTTTGGTTTTTAAAGGCAAAATTCACGAGGTCCAGCCTGGTCACGTGCAAGTGACCAATGAGATTGTCACACGCCCAAAAGATTGCACAGTCATACTAGACCACATGCAGTGGCCAATGAGGTTATAGTTTGTCACATAATGGCTGTTTAAACCAGCCTATCACTTTTGGTTTAAATGACTCACAAGTTCAACAGGTAAGGCAGGAAGAGTTTAGTGGAGTTTACCATAAGCACGTGAAAAAGGTGGAGTTTAAGGTAAACTCTCGATGTTTCCAGTATGTGCCAGATTACAGCCTAACTGTTTTATCTGTCAGTCCTGAACAGAACAGTCAAGGTGGGTTAGGTTAAAGGGAGGGGGATCTAGAGGCATTTTTTTCATTACAGGAACTGGCTGGTTGGAGCCAACGTCTAGTTAACCTTGTTTAAAGGATTTTTTCTAAAATCCCTAAAACAAAGGCAAAGCCTGGAAAGAAGCTGTACCAGCTCAAGTCTCCTCTCAGGGCCTACTTCAACATGAAACATCCAATGGAGGACTCTAAGCCAAGGAGTTCCATTAAGACCCATGCTGGTCCTTTAAGCCTAGTTGTCCTAAAGAAACTGGGCCCACTTGCTGGCCCAGGACTTTATCTCCCAACTTTCCATAGCTGTCAGTCTATGGTGGTAGGGCAGGCACTGGCAAGGGGCTGGCCACCCGCCTAAGGAGTTTGGTGGTGAGTGCCCTTGTGGTCCAAGCTAATCAGGAGGATCTCTGTCTGAGCGTGACCTTGGGCCACAAGTTAGGAGTATCTGAACAAAAGCTAAATCAAAAGAGGGCTGAGGATGTGGCTCAAGTAGTAAAGTGCCTGCCTAGAAAGTCAAAGGCCCTGAGTTCAAACACAAGTACAGTTGAAACAAGAATAACAACAGAAATGGGCATCAGAGAATAGGAATCATGATAAGGCTGACAATCAATGATTGTTGTATTCCTGCCTGGGGAGCACGGAGATCTGAGGAGCTGTTGGAATCCGGACACCACAGGAGTCCATCCCAGCCAGCCTCTTAGAGATATAGTAGGGCAGTCTAGCCTTGAACTGGGACCCTCTTAATCTCTGCCTTCCCAGCAGCTGAGATCACAGATGTGAGCCATGATCATGCCCAGCTCCAATCTCCATCTTATTCATGGACTTTTTGTGGTGTTAAGAGACAGCACCCAGGGTCTCATGGAGGCTTGCTAAGCAGGTGCTATACTACTGACCTAGATCCCAGGGCCCTTACCAAAATTTAAAGCAGGGCTGCCAGGTAGGCGGAAGTTTGATTTCCCTTCAGTTTCCAGGCTAATGAGCAGGGAAATGAGCCCTGGAGGCTGCCAGCCAAGAGAATGAGGGTAAAATGACCGGGCGACCTGCTGGGCAGTGTCCTGGGGCTTCCTGAGCCCCTCAATCCATCACCTGACTCTGGCTCCCCATGGGCTTCTCTGGGCCAAGCATCTTCCTAGAGACCCTTGAAAACAGCTGAAATAACAAGGAGGTTGGACAGACTTTTCTGGCAGAGGGCTTTGTTAGTTTCCCAGAGACAGCAGTTTCTGATGAGCTGAGGCCAGAAGAGACAAAGAAGCAGGGCTGGGGAGGGGGGGGGAGGAAT